CGTTTCTGAGCAGCCGCCGCCAAACCTTTAGATTTGGCAAACAAGATGAAACCTATCTGTCCCTTGGTCTAGTCTGACTTCTTCCCCCTGCAAATGGGATTCCAGATCAACCTTTCTCGTAAACTGTCCAACCTGAACACTTGTGAAGTTGGGGTGGGGTCTGCCTTCTTTTTAAGCACCCTCCTCTATTCATGCTCAGCACTTCCTGTCAGTACCTTCATTCTTGTTTATGCCAGTTTTAGCTGCTGAAAACAGCAAAAAATGCTGGATGAAATATATTTTAAAAATAATAATTTTAAAAGGTACATATGAACTGTCAAGTTAGAAAGAGTCTCAAGGGCCAAACTAGGCCTGACCAGGGGCTGCAGTGGAAAACAGAGCATTTGCTGGACGGGTGAACCTGGACTTCAGTTTTCAATCCCAAGGCCATTGAAGGAAGGAGACAGAAGCCACAGTCTGCTCCAGATAAGGAGTCAAGTAGGAATTTCATGACTGCTACCACACGATTGTGGGCAGCTATGTTCTTAATGTAAGTAGAAACTGATAATAACCTCCCCATTGGGCTCTCCTTCCACCTCGATTAGGGGATTTCAAGGAATACAATCTATCTCAAAACTTTGAGCCGAGTGAAAGGTGAAGAAGCTAACTTTGAGAATCCATAGCCATTTCTGGCCTTGCATAGAAGTGTAGTGTGAGGTTTTCCAAAAAAGTCAAGTAAAGAATGTCATGGAAAGGGTGGTTAGTAGTGCCCAGGTATGGCAGAGGCAGATACTCTGGAGGCTCACACACTCAGCTTAGACCCCAAAGCATTTCTCTAGAACAAGTTACAAAAAACAAGAGTGTGCAGTAAACATTTAAAAGTGAATCACACAGTAGATGTATTTATTGTAAGATTTCACTTATATGGAATTACTAGAATAGGTCCATCCAGAGAGAGAGAGAAAGTAGTTTTTTAGTTGCCTAGGACTCGGGGTGGAAGGTGGGGTATGGAGCATGGCTTCTGATGGTTACAAGCGTTCATTTTGACATGACAACAATGTCGTAAAGTTTGATTATGACAATGGTTGTGCTATTCTATGAGTATACTAAAAACTGCCAACTGTACATTTTAAGCAGGTGAGTTGTACGGCATGTAAATTATATTTTCATAAAGCTGCTAAAAAATGGCCCCAATGGAAAAAAGCCCATTTCCCTTAAAGGAATGAATTTGGAATGACAGCTTGACTTCTTAATAGCTTCTGTGAGCCAGAAGATAGTGGGATAATAGCCTCAATGTGTGCAGAGACGAACGTCTCTTAACCTAGAACATTACTGTTAATGCTCAGAAACAAGATTCAAGAGGAGAAAATGAAGTTGAGACATTTTTAGACAAAGCTTGAGTTTATCACCAACANTCAATAATGGTGAGTTAAAAACAAAATGGGAAAGAACCAAAATACATTATGACAATAAGGTGCATGTCCACAGGGTGGTGACCAGACCTGAAGTGTCTGTCTCCAGGTCCCCATGTTACTGAGAAAGATAAACATACAGATTGACCTTAGGCTTAGGTAAGTTAAAAATGTGCACATGTCATAATTTTTAGGTTACTAACCTTAAGGTTAGAAATAAATTAAATAAGCACATAAATATATATAAAAGTATACTTTTAAATGAATAAAGGCAAAAAGTAGAATGAAATAGAAAACCATTTAAGACAGGCAAGAAAGAAAAGAGAAGGAATAGAAATGATAGTATATACTGAAAGCACAAGGTAAGATGATGGAAATGAAATGTGTAATGGTCATAAATGCCCCATATGACTTTATCAGACAGGAGAGAAGAATCCAGGTATATGCTGTCTAAAGAGAGATAGGTAACATAGGTTAAAGATACACTGAAAGTGAAAAAGGACACACTAGCTGAATCCTCTTCATTGGAAAGTTGTTGGAGACTCTAAGGCAAGTAAGCCATTTTAGAGCTAAAAAACTGGCAGAACTACAAAGAGAAATTGATTATTTCAGCATTAGAGTGGATGATTTTAATCTACCTTTGAGTAGTCAGCAGATAAAACAGATTAAAAGAACAAGATATTGAAGAATTTAAACTACCCAATTAAGTGTTACTGAGTGCCATGCACATGCATAGACTACTGCACCAACCATCATCGGACACATATTCTTTTTAAGCACACAGTGTACAAAGCACATTTATGGTGACTGCTCACTTACTATGTCTCAAAGCAAGATACCCCGAACTTGAAGTGATTAGTATCAAACAGACTGTGTTCTCTATTCAAGAAAAAAATAACACAAAGATAACTAGGAAACATCCAAGTATTAGGAGATTAAGAAACATACTTCTAAATTATTCATGGTCAAAGAATAGTGGAGATTGGAAAATGTTTAGGACTGAGTAATAAAGCCAGTGCTACATAGTGAATTAGTGAAATTGAGCTAAAATGATACCGACAGGGAGATTTTCAGTCTAAGATTTACATGTGGAAAGACAGAAGGTGGAGAATTACTGAGGTAAGTATCTAACCTAAAACATTAGGAAAAGAAAGAAGATAAATAAACCCGGAGAAAACAGTAGGAAGGAAATCATTTAAGAATAAGGGCAGAAATTAATGAAATAGAAGATAAAAATGTTGGGTGATATACACAGCCAAACTGACTCTTTGAATAGATTATTTAACATGTCATGACACTGCTGAGGTTTATCAAGAAAAAGAGTGAAAATAAAGAATGTTAGGAATGAAAAAGAAGATGTAATTGTAGATGCTATAGATATCAAAAGATAAATGGGTTTTATGAAAACTTCCTGATAATGTGAATATTTAGATGAAATGAAAAGTTCTGAGGGGAAAAAAAGCTTCTCAAAACTGAGTCAAATAATTAGAAACACGAATATTCCTATAACCATTAAAGACAGATAAAGTAACTAATGGTTTTTTGGGCAAAGAGAACACCAGCTGTAGATAGCTTTGCTGATGACTGCTAATGGACATTAATGGGAAAAAAATTTCAGTTTACACAAACCATTTCAGAATACTTTAAAAGGAGGGAACACTCTCTACTTTATTTGAAAGGCTGAATTGATACTAAAATCTGAAAAAGATGGCACAGATAGAAAAATAACAAACCAATCTTACCCCAAAATATAGATGACGTATCTTGACAAGATATTAGCAAGGTAAATCCAGTGACATATAAAAAATGTAATATATCATGACTAAGTAGAGTTTTTCAGAGTAATTCAGGGAGAGGTTACTATTTTTAAAAGTCCTTTAATGTAGTAATTCATTACCATAATCTAAAGGTGAAAAATGTGATAAATCATGAGATTTATCATTTAGAAAAGTGTTTAGAAAAAAAAATGTTTGATAACATTAAAGAATCCTTAATAATTAAAAAAGTCTTGGCAATGTTGTAACAAGAGAGGACTTTCTGAAACTTAAAGAGTGCCTATAAAAAGCTAAAGAAAACGTCACCCTTAATGATGAAACATTGACATTCTCCCGTTTAAGTCTAGGAACAAGACAAAGGGGCCGCACTTCCCAACAGATCTTGCATGGACTTCTTCGGGGCATGGTGGGGCCAGGAGGTCGGAATTCTGTCATGGGGACTGGTTCCCAGGGGAAGGAAGCAGAAGCTGCCAGTCCTACAGGCTGGGACTGGGACAGGCACAATGCCACTCGCTGCTGCATTTAGCTGCATGGAGCGAGTCACAGTCCAGCCCAGGTTCAAGAGGAAGATAAATCTCCTCCATTTCTACTGTGACGAGCAGCTTGTGTGTGCAAGTAGAAAGAAATTGGTAGCAGTTATCTTTAGAGATTATCTCCCACAACTCCTGTAAGACTGGCAAAAATGTACAAGGTTGGTGACATAAGATACTGGTAAAGGTGTGGAGGGATTGGCACACTTAGTGCTTCTGACCATGAAAGCTAACCTTAGTGTTCTGGAAAACATTTTGGTATTTTCTAGTGACGTTGAAGATGTGCGGACTGTGTGATTTAGCAGTTTAACTCCTGGATTATTTTGATACCAGGTAATCTGTATAAGAATGTTCAGAACAGCACTTTTTGTGATAGCAAAAAAGCTGGAAACAAACCGCAATGGCTATCACCAGCAGAGCAGACAAAATAAATCATGGTGAAGTCTCACAACAGATACTGTACCTCAAAGAGAATGAACAAATTGTATGTACAGTAACATGATTTAATCTCAAGGACATAAGATTGAGTAGGAAAAAGCACAGTGCAAATGAAAGTACAAATAAAGTAAAACCCATACAAAACTAAATAGCATATTATTTACAGATGCAACAAATATATAATAAGTCTAAAAGATGGGCAAGAAGATGACAAACAAAATTTAGGGTAGTAATTATTTCTGAAGGAGGAGAGAGGAGATAGAAACGGGCAGGGACATGGGTAATTCAGATGATCTCTTCTTAGTAAATTGAAGGATGAATGTTTCTTATATTAGTTTTCCTTTTACTTTGTGTATATTTTATGTTCTTTTGTGTACTGAAATAAGCAAAAGCAAAACCTCCCAAAGCTTGCTTTTTCTTTTTGGTGAGGATTCTCTTCTGTCTAATGTTGCCTCAAATGAACATTTCCGCTGTGGATTAGCAGAGGTGGTCCAGGCTGTATCTTAGATTAATTAGGTTAATTACCTGTATTAGGTCCTGTGGAACCTTCTGAGGACCAGGTTTGGCCAGGAAGACTTCATCCCATTGTGAATCTGGGGCAGTGGGGTTCTCAGAGGGGTGGCAGGTGGAAGGCAGTCTCTGGCCCTAATGTTTCCTATTCTCCGCACTCTCAGCCACCTTTATAAAGCCTCCGCAGGGCCCGAAGACAGTGTGGCTCCTGAGGCCCGCGTTTTTAGGAAAACTCGTGGCCTGCCTTGCTGGATTCATGATCATTGGCTATTGAATGTTAAAAGAAATCAGTCATTCTCAAATGTGAAGGGTATGAATGGCGGCTTCTAATTGCTTGCATTTTTGTTGTTTCCCAGATCGACCAGCTGAAGCAGGAACTTTCAAAGAAGGAGTCAGAACTTCTTGCCTTACAAACAAAGCTTGAAACCCTTAGCAATCAAAATTCAGATTGCAAACAACACATCGAAGTACTTAAAGAGTCACTTACTGCCAAAGAGCAGAGGGCCGCCATCCTTCAGACGGAGGTAAGGCGCCCTTTTGCGATTTCGGGCAGCAGCCATTGAGTTAATAGAAAATATCCTATCCGACTTGCTTTCTTTCCACGCTCCCTATGCAAACCCTTGGGACCAGATGTGTTTTGGATATGAGGTATTCCAGGGACTTGGGAAAGGTAAGGTCCATTGCATATGTCATAGGCTGTAAAATGCTCCCAATGGGGTTGCAGCAGCGTCTCATAAACAAACACATGGATCATTCTGTAGGAAAAAAAAAAAATTTCTCACACTAAAGTAGGAGAAATAAAGATGATTTATGTAGCTTCCTGTCACTTTGTATCAGGTTGTGCCACCAAAGGATTTAAAAATTTTTTTTCAGAGATTTTTGAGTTTAAGAACCATGGATAAATGACTGGATCTGAAATGGTTTCATTTTATCAAAAATCATAAAAATGTCAGAATGTCCTCTACCTTACTCTGTTGTGTATCTATATAGATCTCCTACCTCATATCCCCAAGTCCAGGGGTTTCTTACTTCCTAAGTATCTTCCATTGTCAAGATTCTTTTACCCACTGAAGAAAGTTGGTGTTGTGTGAGTCTCTTAAAAGAATTGTTGTTTTATTATTTCTTATTCATTTTGAGAAAAACAAATATGTTACTGCCTGTTTCCTTGTTTCTCCTCATTGGATTGTATCTTTGGGTCTGCTAAGAAATGCAAAACACAAGCTAGTTTTATGTAAACAGTTGCCAGGAAATAAATTATTACATGTGGGCAATGCCAAACGGTGATTTTCATGTAGAGACAGAAGGGTGTGTGGGTTACTTAAGGAGGAGGCAGGCTAATCCAGTTGCATGCTCTCTTTTGTGCCCTTTGAGACATGTCTTTGCATGTATTTATTTTTGTATCTGTGGGGAGGTTTGAATTTTCCTTATAAGCTAACGGGGCTTGAGTAGGTCACGATGCAGGACAGGGTCCAGAGGAGAATGGAAACAGGTTCCAGATTGGACGGGCCTTGGCATGGGCCTGACTCAGCCCCTGTGTGCTTGACATTGGCCAATAGGCAGGTATGTGATGGCTTTAAGTGAACGTGACCCTGTTGGCCTCAATGGTGTAGATAATTCACATGTGTGAACTATCACCTTCAGGGGTGTATAGTCCCGTTGTGGATGTAGAAGCCTGGATGTTTTGTTTTTTAAGGCAAAAGGTGAACCGTGCTATAAATTGGAAGGTAGCTTGCATCTCCTCTGAAGAGGCAGCAGTAAGGAGTATCTAGAACCATGCTGGCTAATACTGCAGCTGCCCGCCACATGTGGCTATTCTAATTTAAATTCATTAAAATCCAGTAAAATTTAAAACGTAGTTCCTTAGTCACACTAGCCACATTGCAAGTATTTCATAGTCACAGCTGGCGACTGGTGTATGGCACAGCCCAGCTATGGAACGTTTCTACCATCTCTCACTTGCCTAGAATGGGGGATGAAAACAATGGCTTATGGGACAAATCCTGCCTCTTCCTGTTTTTGTCAATAAAGTTTTATTGGAGCACAGTCACACTGTTTCAGCTACATGTTTTCTTTGGCTGCTTTTGTGCTATAGCAGCAGAATTTGCCATCGACAGAGACCGTACGACCCACAAAGCTGAAAATACTGACTCTCTGGGCCTTTACAGAAAAAATATGCCCTCGCATGGCTCTGTGGTTTTGTGGGAAAAGGTTGAATGGGAGTTGGCATGCTGGCCTGTCCTCTCTCTAGCCGTCCTACTCTGAGCAGGGCCAGATAGTTTGCTGACTCCCCAGCACTCATTTCCCTTCAAGGTTATTCACAAAGCAACTGCTGATACCCACTGCTGTCTCAAGTGGGAAATAATGCCAGCATTACGGACAGTTCATGTAATTGAGTTGCTGTGTATTGGGTGGAAGAAAATCTGAAAAGCAAGGCAGTTTGCAGAAAATCCGGGAAGCAAGGCAGTTCGCGGAGGCATCGCGCAGAAGGCAGGCAGGCTTTCTGGGGAGTCTCCTACAGAAGGAGAGAATGAGGAGTCAGCTCCAAAAGGCCCTGGCCCTCCTCTCCCCACCTGGCGCCTCTGAGCGCCCGAGGCCCTGGCCTCTTCCCCTTTGCTCATTCCCGCCCAGAATTTTTTTTCCTCTCTCGAATTAATGTAGTTCAGACCTATACATACATATTTCATGAAAAAGACAGTGGTGACATTCTGTGACCAGCTTCCACCCCATGTTCAATAATTAAAATGACCCAATAAAGAGAAGACGCTTTGAAATAGAACCATTATTTGAATAGAAACATTATTCTCCATGTGCAGAGAAAGTGAGAGAGTTTTCTAGTGCCCTACTTTGAAGTTTGGAGTGTGAGATTAATGATTCTTATCAGCGGGGAACATCCAGCGAATTTTCTTTGGCCTTTCCTCTTCTTTTAAAATCTTTGTTAATGGAAATGGAGAGAGTCACCTAATGATGCCCGTCTGCTAGAGGAAGCAATTTAGGTTGAAATTAGCTCTAATTGTTGGATCCTAGGCAAGGGCTTTTTGGTAGCAGGGTAAAGGACATTAAAGTGATTTTCTGCTTCTTGGAGAAACAGAAATAAGAGACTTCCTGCTTAAAGAGCAGTGGGTTAGTGGGCAAGCCTTCCGCACATGAGGTACGTTCTGTTCCCTTATGACAACAACAAAAAGTCCCGAGCTTAATTTTTTTTTTCTTGTGAATTTGTTTGCATTGGGATATCGGGGGTGGGGTGGGAAATGTCCCAGTGGGCTTTGCCCCAGCAAGGAAACGTCCAGGGTTAGTTTTTTGCCAACTTTTCCTCTTTCTTGGAGCTGCTGTCCTTGCTGCCAGCAGCCCCTTGAGGTCCGCTGCTGAGAGGCTCGGCCTCGGAAGGGCCCCCCCTCTGCTTGGGGCCACTCGTGTTTCCTGCCTTTCCGGGGTCCCTCCCTGCTTCCTCTTTGGGGGGAGATGTCTTCCACTGCCAGCTCACTCGTCGAGATCACACCCACCAGCTTCTCCTTGGAAAAAGATTTCTTTTCCTTGGGTTTGGAGAAGGGGACAGATGGGTTCACCCACCACCCCGGTCTCCTGCGACTTCTGCTCTCTCCTCCTTTTCGGTGTCCCTGTGGCCTCCTCACCCTCCTCCAGAGGGCTGCTGCTTTTTTCTGAAGATGGGCGGCAGATGCAGCATTTCTTTCCTCCTTTCAGCCATTTCTCCTGTTTCCTAGTAATCTCACAGCCACTTCCTCTGCCTGGACCATCGCCTCCTTCAAAACATCCGGATTCTTTTTGTGGAGTCTCTCCAGTCTCATAGGAGAGCCACTCCTCAACTGCTTCCCGACGCTTCTCCCCAGATACACGTGTGGGCACCTCAGAGAAGCAGTCAGTTCGTGAGGCGATACTGCATTTGTTTGCCAGGGATCGGGGGACACGGCCTTTGTTCCTGGTGGCTGCTCTGCCAGTGAAGGGGGAGTGGAAAATGAGTCCATGTTTTGGGGTGTAACCCATTGTCTTCAGGGCTCTGAAAACTTGGTCCCTTTGCTGGGCCCTGGGAATCACACCAGGACTGGCCTGTGTCAAATGTATATGAGAGATACGCTGCTCATCCTTGGAGGAGGTTAGGTGAGCTAGCGCCTTCTAACTGGATTCCCGAGTCCTTCCTGAAAGTTCTAGGGCTCGCTCCAGAATGGGAAGGGCCTGCTGGTGTCTCTGGAAAATCCCTGCCATCTCCTGACTCTGGCGACTCATTAGAATGCAGTAATGACAGATGTCACTGGCTTCATGGTCATCTCTGCAAGGAAGGCTTTTTACTACCAAAGACTTTATGTTTGGGAGGTGGTAGGATGCAGGGTGGGATGAGGGGTGGGGAGCAAGTTGTCTGGGTTTGTGGCTATGTGGCTTGGCTCCTGGGTGGTTAGTTTTAACTTGTACAAATGCCCAGCTGCTGTTTGACATGTGTGCAATAAATCAATGGAATAATAGTTACACACACACCCAGTTACACCACACAGCTCTTAACATAACATTTTACATTTTAAAATAACTTCAAAGGACCCCAAGACCAACTTTCTTATTTTGCTACATCCCTTGATGTTTTCTGTGTACTGACTTATCCCCACCCGCCAACACGTTAATTCTCTGGCAGTGGAGATATAGTGAGTTGACTTCCATTAGGACCTTCCTTTTTCTGGACTTCAACCAGTGATTATCAACAGAGGCAGAAATTAGTATGAAGAAAGACCTAGCTATTTTTCTTTGATTTGAAATAAAATGTGCAGAGAACACAGCATTTGGAAATGGGAGCTATGTACACATGCCACAGCCTCCCCGTTTAATAATTGTGATGTGAAGAAGACGTGAACTTCTCCGAACCTCCATGTCTCTGAGCCTCCATCTGCATGCCAGCTTCACGCATGTATGTGAAAAGTGCTTCGGCTCTAGTAAGGGGTTTTCACTATACCTTGTGCTGACCATCATTGGTGCTGTCAGCGTTATTGCAGTTGCGTATCAGGGATGTTGGGGGTACTCGACCTCCCTTCTTTTCTTACCATGCATTCTGTGTGGTCTGCCTATGTGGGTCTTCCCTGAATTTTTGGTGTCTGTGTTTACTGAACTCAAAATTTTTATTTAAATTGAGTCACTTTTTTTAAATGTCTCATAATGACAGAGAAATGAAGACACTATGAAAATGACATCTATTTTGTTTTATCCCCAAATTAAGATATTTCTTAAGAATTATAATTTTTAAGAAATATCTCAGTTATTAAGACATTAAGATTTCTTTCTGTTTTCTGGCAAGTACACTTTCCCCCAGCCCAGCATGATTTGCAAATTGCTAGGTCTGAGAAAAGTCTTGCATGTTTTCTAGAAGCTATTGTTATATGACAGTAGTGTTTAATGCTTGCTTTTATACTATTTCTGGTCCGCATAGGTCAGGGAAGAGTTCCTCTTGCTATTACAATCTCAAGATTGTAAACACTTGAGAACCTATGGATTGAGAAAAAGCTTAGGGGTTTTGTGTTTATGAAGGTGA